GAGCAGTGGGGCGGCCTGGCGGGGTCCCGGCGGCGCCCGAGAGGCGGCGTTCCCCCTGCCAGCGACGGCCTGCCGCGCTGGGGGGCCACCGGGGGGCGGGGGGGTCGAGCTCAGAACAGGATAGCGCTGAGCTACGGATAAACCGATTCTGAAGCGTAACGCGTTAGCTGCAGACCGACGGAGACCCGACTTCCAGACTCTGCGGGAGTCAGCGAGCAGGCTGCTTACCCGTTCTAATGCAGTTTAAGTGTCGTTCAAGTATAGACGCCAAACTCATTTTCACCCAAGCTCCGCAGTACGAGTTCCATTGCTCGCTCCAGACAACCAGCTGTGCACAATCTTCGGAGAGGTCTCTTCAGCAAGGGCTGTTCTCCAAGGTATTTCACAGCTGTGACAGCTTACTGCAATTTGCCGCATTTTGGGGGCCCATATCTTCGTTTCACCTGGAATGGGTTTTATTTCGTTAGTCGCCCTTGAGGCCAGAATGCACATCTCCCACCCTAGTACATCCTTTATATCCAATGTAGTTATCTGCAGGTCAGCTGTTACGTTTTGCCCACATCTTTCTGACTGCTTACAAAGTTCCAGATTGAGGGAGTTTTCCAAAATCTTTAAAGCATTTTTCATCTGATTTTTGGTATTTTTCCTGCTTCCTCCTCCCCCCCTCTCATATTTTATTGTCTGTCTGTGAATGTGCATAATTTATATTGCATGCTGATTTTCATTCTGACAGCTAGTCATACTACAAGCATGAAGATTGAAATAAAGGCCCGCAGTCTGGATTCAAAAGTTGTGCAACAAACTTCAGTTCCTAGCATCTCGCAAAAGGAAACACCAAAAGAATAAACATTACAGATTACCTCAACATTTAGAATTAATGCTAATGTTTGCTCTCCTGAAATAGACCAATTTTTCCTGTAATTGTCAGACCCAAAGATGTGGACATTCAGCTCTCTCTTATATGGAGCATGGTGTTCCTTTGCTGGTATCTTAGTGCCAGATACCATCACGCTTTTGTGATACAAGCTGTTATTCTTTTTTTTTTTTCAGGTGGTATTTATGGTATACATGTCAATGACATTATGCAGGTCAAACTTAAAACTGAGAAAGATGTATGAGGAGAAGGAAATTAGAGCAGTGCAGATTAATGCAGAAAGAAACTATTTCCAGCTACTCAGTTTCTTAGTAAAGAACATCCTAGAAAAATGATGGGGCTTTTAAATGTTAAAAACCCCAAATGCCAAGAGGTGATTTTTTCATCTCCTTAGGGAATACATTACTAGCTATACTGTCCTATCTATGGAAATGTTATGGAAAAAGAAATGCTATCTCATACTACTGCACTCTTCTTTGATATTGTTGGCTGTAATGAATACAGTAGAAGTCCCTGCACAGTAACAAAATCACTTCCTCTTGGATGTGATATGATGAAGTTTGTGTGAGCACTCTGTTTTTAGAACTGGTTGCTAAGAAGAGCTAATCTTTACAAACACTAATGGCTATGAAAGATGTTATGCTATATACATACACTGTTTCAAAATAAAAAGCTTGTATTTTTTCAGAATGCTCCTGGCCTTTCTTCTTCTCCATGTATGCTGTGGCTTTGGCTCTCTGAGCCTTGTATGCAGTCTGTGCTCAGGTTTTTTCTGTTAAGGTAAGTATCAGGCCAAATTCTGCTGGTCTGGAGTCAAGAGCTACACACACACATATACTGTACCACAGTCCAATCTATAGGTTTGGGTTTGATCACTGATATTAGTGTTTTGATTACATCATAAGTTTCTGTGGCCTTGAACCTTATAATGGAATCACCAAAAAAGAATGGCATCCTCTAATCCAGCCTCATATCCTGATGTCATCCCTGATGTGTGTCAAACCTACAAATACGCAGTGCTGGAAATGCATTGGCCTCCCTCGGCAATCCATACTGGAGCTTCGTGGTACTTACGTTCCGATTTTTTTTCCTACCCTCCAGTCTAAAATATTTGTGGCTGGAATTTATAACCTCTATTCCCTATGGACAGCAAGAGAAGTGCATTTCGTATTGTTTGCCATGAGAATGCATAAGCTTATTTGCGTCTCTGCAAGAGTCCTTAGTATCTGGGAAGACTGCCATCGCATTTCTTTTCACCTTGCTGTTCTGCACTTCTGATCCTTCTGTCCCCTGGAATCTCACCTAATCGAGTCAACTGCTTTGTCCATGGCTGTTCCCCAAACGAGGCTTTCAGCTGCAGATGAAGCCTTTACCAACGCTGTGTGAAATACAGATGGACTATGTGCCATAGGCTACCGACCTGTTCAGGGATCTCAGTGCAGTTTTCTTTTTTTTTTTGCAACTAACGACTTTGTTGAACTGCCTTCAACTCTGATCTATTATCCAGATTTTTTCCTTCAGATTTATGAAGCCAATTGTTTTCTCATCCTGGTTTTATTTAACTGATTATTCCTGAGTACATTACCTTTTACTTCTCTTTATTGACCTGCATTCAATCTTTTTAATTATTTCTATTGTTGCAATAATTTTGAATTCAAATCCTGTCCTCCAGCATACTTCTTACTTCCAACTTCAAATGTTTGTCTAAAGGTAATAAGCAGACATTCTATGCCACTTTGTTTAACCACTTACAGCATTATAAAATATTTATAAAACACAAACAAATAATGGTAGAATTTCACAACCATTTGGGACTTGTGTTGTACTGACATATATTCAAGTCTAGTGTACTCCATTTAGCAAAAAACTGCTAGCTTGTGTTGTGTCAGTAGAAATGACTCTAAAAGTTACACGGAATTAGGCCCAAGCTGCTTAATTCATCACTGTTCCCTCAACTTAATTGTTCTTCACATCACAAACCTCAAACTAAATTATGTCAAATTAGATGCTCAATAAATTCATAAATTAAAAGCAATGAATGGACAGTGCTTATTCTTTCACTGAATAGATGAAATAAAAGAGAACTTTATCTCTTAACTCAAACCAGACAAATAGAAAATGGTTAGCATGGACTAACATCACACTCTTCCTACTTCATGTCCCTTTTCCTCATGCTTTTAGTCAAGTACCTAGATCTACCTCTTTGAAATTTATCTTTAAAAGTTGGTAACCTCAATGTTGGGGCGTATTTTGAGTAAGTGGTAGTATCCGCAACACCCAATGATTGTGGCTGCACATGCTTTTGTACCTCTGCCTTAGGCTGTGTCCCTACAAGGTGGCAAATCTGACTTAATGAGCATATTGCAAAAACACTACAGCCATGAATCCATATGAGCTCACTGTAGCAGTTCAAATTTTGTTTTAAAATCTCCTAGAAGTAACTTAGTAGCAGCAGAGTGTTTATTAGGGCAGTACTGCTTGTTTGTGGTAAGCCAACATACAGCCAAAACAGAGCCTTCATAAACACGCCACCATACGCTCTGGATAATTTGACAGACATGTGCTGCGATTTCACACTTCATCTAGATCAAATTTCATTGCCATTTGATCCAGGATTGTACATGTCCTTTGTAATGGACATGAAGCCTTGATGTTACGTGTTGCTCACAGCACGAGAGCTGCTGCCTCTGGACCAACTGATCATAGCCTCCTTACCAACCGGCAGGTGACTATTGAAAGGAATTTTGAAAGAGATTATTTAATTTCTTTGCTTTTGCACAGCATCGTATTTCATTCTACTTTGTCAGCAAGAATAAGCAACTTGCACACAAATGTTTAAAAAACTTTCTAATTCCCCTACATGGAATAAACTCATTTAGTTTCTTAAATGTTTTGAGCAAAACATTGTTCTGGCTTCTTCAAGCAGTATCCAACATTGCCGGAAGAGCAGCAGGATTGGAGTTGAGCTAGAGAAGCTTTTTGAACTGAACTTTGTTTTGCTGAAAAACGTGGATGGGTCAAGAGAGCATTTTAAGACCTAGCACTGAATTTGTTAAATTGCTGGGAATGAAAATGATTCCTGCTTTTAAAAATTCCTCTGATCAACATGTTTTGTTCTAGAAATGTCACAAACTACCAAAAATATAGAATATATTCTTAATTCAGGACATTCTATTTACAGCTATTTAGACTTGACATTAGGAAGCATTTCATTTACCACCCAGTCGCACACTGGAACAGGCTTCCTAGGGAGGTGGTCGATGCCCCACACCTGTCAGTGTTGAAGAGGCATTTGGACAATGCCCATAACAACATGCTTTGACTTTTGGTCAGCCCTGAAGTGGTCAGGCAGTTGGACTAGATGATCCTTGTAGGTCTCTTCCAACTAAATAGTCTATTGTACTCTATTCTACTCTACTCTACTCTATTCTGTTCTGTTCTGTTCTGTTCTACAAATTCATTCTGTTCATTTCTATACCAAAAGGTAAGATTTAGCCTTTTTTGGGGTGGGAAGGAGAGCAAGCTGTTTTACATTTTTTCTTTTACCTATTGCAGAAACTTACTAGCCACTTGTCCATATACTCTAAGATAAACCATATACAGCAGTGGAACTCAAAACTGAGAATTTGCCCCATGGTTCCCAGACAAACTGGGCATTTTAACTTTCACGAGAACACAGATGGTTCTATTGCACTGTCCCAGCTCACATGAGCCCAGCCACCACTGAGTTCCACTGAAGTCACTGGGACTATTCACACAGAATAGACAATGCAATAGTATTAAATGTGAATAAGGCTGGCAAAATATGACCCTAACTCATTTTCATTACTGTAGGATATTGTATATTTTTTTCTGGAGCTACAATGACTTGTGTTTTGATATCTCTCACTATCAAGATTTAGATGCTAGGCGTGTGTGATTTCAGAGATGCCACCTTCCACACTATAGTCATCCGCATAGCTTGCCAACAGTTACGTCCATATTTTAACAAACAGATGAACACATTCTTTCGTCAAATTCAGCCAATCATGGCAATTAATCAACAATCCTCCTTCTAAATTATTAAAAAATTTAGCCAAGACAGTTCCCTGAACCCCCAAGTCCCACTTCACTTGGAGATCAAGCATTACTGGCTTCCCACCATATTCAGAGAATATGTTAAAATACAACTGGCTTTTTAACTGGAATGTCTGTGTATATGCCTCAAAAAATAGCATGTGAAGAGGGGATGGAGTGCAGCTTTACACTGTATTGCATCTAGCCCTGTATCTACTCCTTCTCATTTTAACACTGCCCCCTTTTCTCATTTTAACACTGCCCCCTTAGTGAGGCAGGAGCAAATCTCTAGTAACTACACGAACTTCAATGATATTATTTGTTCTAACGCTGAGCTGAATTTGATC